GATATAGATATGTATGTATATATATATATGTATATATATATATATATGTATGTATGTATGTATGTATATATATATGTATATTTATACTGTGTCTGAATCTGTGTCTGTGTATGTATGTATATATGTGTGTGCATGTGTGTGTGCGTGTGTTTTANCTATATATATATATATATATATATATATATGTATACATATGCTTATAGGCATATATATGTGTGTGTATGTGTGTATGTGTATGTTTTTGTATGCATGTATTATGTATATATATATATGCGTATGTGTGTGTGTTTGTGTGTTTATGTATGTATATATATACATATATATATATGTGTGTGTGTGTGCGTGTGTTTGTGTTTGTTTGTGTATGTGTGTGTGTGTGCCTGAATATATATATATATGTGTGTGTGTGTGTGTGTGTATGTATATATGTATATATGTCTGTGTCTGTGTATGAATATTTATATATACGTATGTATTTATATATATATATATATCATCTTATTTTTCATATGTACGTAGCTTCGTATGTGTGTCTATAGCTGCCTATACCTTGCTGTTGGCTATTGCGGCTGGTCGCGTATAGGCATATTTGGAGTCTTCGAACTTTCATATCTGTTAAGTATATCATATTCCGCCTACTACCGCGCGTCGCCGCATCGCTAGGACTATCACCTGGCATATTGGCTAGTTGTCGGATTCACCTTCTTCTATGTCCGCCTTCCACTATTGCAGGCGTACTGACGTGCCTGGACGGATACATGAACATAGCACTCGAGCAAACGGAGGAATATGTGAACGGACAATTACGAAGTACATACGGTGACGCTTTTATTCGAGGGAATAATGGTAAGTCAGCAGAATCACACAGTGTATATGTACCACACTCATCTCTACTTGATCATAAAGTCATCAGCAGTGTGCGTATGTGTACTAGTAGAGTTTCAATTGCCGAATTTGAACTGATGGCTAAATTATAATGTATATATATATATATATATATACGTATATGTATATATATATGCTTGTGTGCTCGTGTGTGTCTCTGTATGTATGTGTGTGTGTGTTCTTCTATGTATGTTTATAGGTATATGCAGTTATATTTATATATATGTGTGTGTGTGTGTGTATGTATATATATATATATATGTGTGTGTGTGTGTTATGTGTGTGTGTGTGTGTGTGTGTGTGTATCTATATGGATGTATATAGATATATAGATTTAGATCTATGTTATTGTATGAGTCTTGAAGGTCATTGGAGGTCATGCTATCGAAGAATACAACTGTTGATCCATTGAATTTTTTTATATTATACTGGTTTCTCTCCGAAATCTGTCGCCGTCATCGAGCTTCAAATATTATCCTCTCCTCTCTCTCCTTGTTTTGCAGTTCTGTACATTAGTACATCTTTTGGTGTCTAAGTGTATTCGAGGAGATTGGAGGACTACGTTTGGCACGAAGTTTGCACGATTCCATGAACAATGAGGAGCGGGTTTGGAACATATCCGTATATACCCGGTGAAATAGCATCTAGTTAGAGCCTATCAATGAAGAGTACATATACATCGTGACTTAGGGGATCCCTAATCTACTTTTTAAAGAGGAGATTCCAAGGGAAATGGCAGAATAACCATTGGGGCGGTGAAGCTATAATTATCGTTAGCCAAGGTCAATCTATGACAGTACCAATAAATACCAAGTTTCGATGCTTTCCCATACCCATCGACAATATTGTACACCAAAACTGCTAATCTGGTTGTGTCAGCCACGGCACACAGTGCAGTTGTCTTAACGCTCATTTGATAGCACAGCTCTTTACATTGGGCAGCTGCTTCAATACGCAAGCACCCTGAATCACAAATCGGAACAAGGCAACATTTCACAAACATAGCTTATACGCAAGGGTGAACGTAGAGGCGACTTCATGGTATCTACACGCCTGTATGCTGCGAGCAGGAGCATATTTGTGTGCTACAAGAACAGTTTACGTCAACAACGGATCTTCCTTGGGGGACGACATTGGACTGTCAATTCTTAAATTTCGTCGACCTACTCTACGATAATTACTAGCGGTTCTGAAGTGACTGTTCATTAGGGTTCGTGTTCATAGACATCTAGATGTTGAATGAGGACACTCCGCGCCATGGACGTCATGCGCATTAGAAGTTATTGATATAAAAGTTATACCACTCTCAGCCAGTGTGCATGTGCAAAAGGACAGCTCATCGTTTAAGTAACGTTGACGGTTCAAATTGGGCAAGCCCTCACTACGAGATATAGGAACGATCGATACAAGGGCAATATTAGAATTTTTGTACACAACAAGCAAAGCATTCTTTTACTAGACGCCAACGAATATACCGATCGATACAGGTGCACAACAAGCAAAGTTTTTGTTTACTATAGACACCAGCGGATATACCGACAAAGTAGACCGCTGCCACAAATGATCTGCCTGTGTGGTGGCGCTGATTTTTGAGTTGCGCTCGTAGATGTATATCAATCCGTAGAGAGATGCAGAGTAAGATATCATTTAATAATCACCTATGGAAATGCGACAATAGAACGTCTGTCAGGCATACTCGACTTTTAGTCTGTGTCTCCCACCCTGTCAGAACACTCCAAATAATCATCACATCGGTCAAGTTGACTCCTCGGCATTTTTATCTACTCGGGCTTCTCAGGCACTGTAAAGCATTCCAAAAGACACATATGTAAGATCTCATATTAAGCAAAGCGAACATTGGACGACTCCTGTATGCATTTACCATACACCATCAACATTTCTATCTGAACCGGCACACCCAATCTATCGTCCCAATATCGCATACATTTTAGCGGACTCTGATAGCGATCACTCAAATTGAAGAAACTCGTTTGGAACATATCAAAATCTATTGAACAGAACACATAGTACTCACCGGGATATGACAGAGGGGGCGTGTAATCGTAACCCTTTTTGTATCGAATAGGGCCGGCGTAGAAGGAGAGAAGACCTGATACAAGAACGGGGAAGCGTGCTATTTAGTATGAAATTGTACAGTAAGGAGGATAAGCTGCTACAAGCATAGGACAGCCCGTACAAACCTCGGTGCGACATGTAGTATATTCCAGAACCCAAAATAATGACACGTGCCTGAGTTGCAGAATGAAAGGAACCCCGAGGCAAACAATATAATCGCATGTACAGAGAAAAACAGGTAGAACAGCCTTAATTTCTACATAAATCCAGTTTGTATCGTTCAGGATGCACATAAAGGCTAATCTCAACTGAAACAGACACAAACTAACTAACGATACCAAACTCCGCATAGTACATCACATGGCAGGCAAGAATCTTTGTAATGTACATGAACTGAACCCCTATGGAGAAGGAAAGCAACTATTTAGACATCTGCGTAATACACAATCTAGCCACTCAAACTTTAGTACTATAAGGAACATGTATATACTCATACAAATGGCATGCAAAAATACTCACCAAAGCCGGTGAAGACAAACGACATGAAGATGACCGGCTGGGTTCGCCACGCATTTAGCATAAACGACATGGTGAAATCTGAAGAAAAAGACAGGACAAATGTAAAATTAGCTTTGAGGAAATATTGAGACTCGATGGATAGTATACTCGGGAGCCTGGGCAGTACCAACCAGAACAAAAACTGCTATAGTGTTACTA